GTTTATATTAATATTACTTTTCTGTTCTTTGAAACTGTTTAATGTAAGTATAAATATTAATTTTCATGCATCAGTACCAGATTTTTTGATAAAATTTGGCTGTAATACTGTTAGTTAAACTGTTTATTAATATTTGTCAGGTCAGGTTTCTCCTGCTACAGGTAACATGTAACCCAATACAATCTGCTTCATGTTCTGCTGCTTTGTAGGATACGCCTTTTTAGGCAAAGGCTAGGAGATGCCAACTCCGACATAAAACACTCCCTTGGGGGTGTTTTTAATGTGGGGGTCTTGGGGCTTTTGGTTGAGCAAAGGCTAAAAATGGTGTCTCGATAAAAATACTCATCATGAGCAGATGTTAAATGCATCCTGCTGCTGTCTTGTAGAAGGCCTCCTAGGCAAAGACTTAATTAGTAAACAGATTCTATCTGTTGACCAGCCTCGCACTACTTCTTCATCTATTAGGCTGGTGTAGATGTAAATTTAATGCATTGTTTCTAGTTTAGGATGTTGAAACCTTTTTGACTCGATGCATGGGTTTTGCTTGTGTCTCTGTTTTTATGACTAGGAAACTCATTCTATTATCTCCTGATGAGGGTACAGCTCTAAAACTCAGTTTTATGGTTTTGAGGCTGGCTGGTAGTCGGGTTTCCCGAACTCTGTGGTAGCTCTCAGAGAGGCTGATTCCATCAACAGCTGGAAAATATCAAAGTACTAACAGTGCTATGTTGCGCATGGATGATGTCCCTGCTTGTACTTTTGGTGTGCATTGCCAAGGCCACATTTGAGCCCTTTGTTACGGCATAGGATTTATTAACAGTAATGAGGCAATTGCTTAAACAGTGTACTGAGTATTCTCTATGTTCTTTAACAAATTTAAAAATGAATAAAGTAACAAAAACCATAAAACACAAAAAAACCACAGTCATCAACAAGTTCGCTAAACCTATCATTCACTAGTATTTGTGGTCTTCGAAGTAACTTTTCTTCTGTTAAGTCTTATCTCTTGCAAAGTTCACCAGACCTACTTGCTCTTTGTGAGACTAATTTAAGTTCGGCTGTCTCATCTTGTGATCTTAGTGTTGATGGTTATCTTTCTTTAATTCGTTAAGACTCCAATAGTCACATACTTGGCCTGGGCATTTATATTCGGAGGAATTCACACATTTGTCGGGAAGCTAGGTTTGAATCTACAGACTACTCTTTTATCAATCATTTACCTTCTCTGCTCGACTTATGTCTTGCTCCTGACCCTAGTCAATGCTCAGTTTCTTCACATTCACCCTTAGGTGCCTCTGATCACAATTTATTCTCTCTATAACTACTATCTCATGCTTCTTTATCATCAGAACCCCCTATCATCATACATCTTACAGCTACCTTAAAGCTGACTGGGACTCTTTACGTAATTTTTTTCATAATGGCCCTTGGGTAGAAATCTTTTTTCTTCCTGTTGTCAAATGTGCTTCTTACATAACTTCATGGATTCAGGCTGGCATAGAATTTTTTATTCCCTCTTGACAATTCCAGTTCAAGCCTCAATCTTCTCCATGGTTTTCCTCGCATTGTGCTGCTGCAATTGCCGATCGAACCCATTACTTCCATATCTATCAGCTAAACGATTCTCCAGAAAACAGACGTCTGTTTAATACTGCTAGGAACCATTTTAAAAAGGTTTTGTCTAACGCCAAAGCCCATTATTTTGAGGTCATGAAATCTTGTATTTCATTACAAAAATTAGGCTCTCGTGACTTCTGGAGAATCTTTAATAGTATCAATAATAAGGGCAAGTCTGTAATTCCACCTCTTTTGTATGGTTCAGACTTTGTCACCTCACCTAAAGACAAAGCTGAATTGTTTGCTAAGAACTTTTCATCAATATTATCTCTTGATTCCACTAGTTGCGTTGTACCTGATATAGGCGACAAACAGGTTGATCCATTGCTTGACATTCGTATCACTCCAGCTACTGTATCTAAAGTGATTTCCAGCTTAGACTCTTCTATAGCTTATGGCCCGGACATCATACCAGTTATAGTCTTGCAGAAGTGTTCTACGGAGCTGTCGTCTATCCTTTCAAAACTTTTCAACAAGTGCTTAACAGAGTCTTGTTTTCCAGCCTGCTGGAAAGCAACATTTGGTATCCCTATTTTTGAAAATTTTGGAAAGCGATCTGATTCGTCTAACTACCGTCCTATTAATCTTCTTCCTATCATAAGCAAGATTTTTGAATCTTTAATTAACAAACACTTAATCTCTCATCTTGAATCTAATAACTTACTTTCTGATCATCATTATGGATTTCAAGACTCTCGTTCTACGGCTGATTTGCTAACAGTAATAAACGATAGGTTTTATTGCGCATTAGATAAAGGTGGAGAGATTAAGGCGATCGCTCTTGACATTTCTAAAGCGAATCCTTCCTTTCTAATCGTAGTATAAAAGTTATCCTTGATAGACAGAACTCTTCTTCTTATTCTGTAACCTCAGGGGTTCCTCAAGGTTTAATCCTTGGCCCTATACTCTTTTTAATTTACATTAACGATTTTCCAGATATTCTCAAACCTAAGTTGGCATTGTTTGCTGATGATATTATCATTTATTTTTGTCATAATAAGAAGCCAACTCTCTCTGATTGCTTGGAGGGGGCATTCGAGCTTGAAAAGGATCTCACTTCTGCTACAGCATGGGGCTCACATTGGCTGGTGAACTTTAATTCAGATAAAACTTTTTTATAGCCAATCGTTATCGCAATAGTTTAGACCTCCCTATATTTATGAACGGTAATGTACTCGATGAGTCATTTACCCTTCATCTTCTAGGATTAACTCTTGCTTCTGATCTTTCTTGGAAACTATATATCAAATCCGTTGCAAAATTAGCATCTGCTAAAGTTGCGTCTCTTTATCGAGCTCGACACTTTCTTACTCCGGATTCTATTCTCAATCTCGATAAATCTCAAATCCGGCCTTGTATGGAACACTGTTGCCATTACTGGGGTGGATCTTCTAATGATGTCCTTTCTCTTTTAGACAAAGTGCAAAAACGCATTGTAAACATAGTTGGACCTGCTCTTGCAGCCAACCTTCAACCTTTATCACATCGTCATAATGTTGCTTCTCTTTCTCTTTTCTACAAATACTCTAATGGACACTGCTCCAAAGAGCTAGCGTCTCTTGTGCCATCTACTAAAATTCATTCTCGTGTTACTCGTCATTCATTTAAGTCTCATCCTTTTTCTATTACTGTTCTAAGTGCTCCAAAAACTATTATTCGTCTAGTTTTTTTCCTCTAACATCAGGTTATAATATAGTTTATAATTTAGTGAACTTTTCAGAACTTTACTTATTGGTGTATTTTTTCTGTATCACTTTTTTGTTTTGGTTTAATTATTATACTTGAAAGTGATTTCAGTTTTCAATACACCTTCAATGCATCTACAATACAGAGTTTAAAAATGAATATAGGAATGGTAAACTTTTAATATATATATATATAATAATCAGTTCTTTGGAATTCGCTTCCTTCATCTTGCTTTCCTGATTCATATAATTTGCAATCTTATAAGTCGTCTATCAATCGTTATCTTGCTCTACAATCTTTATCTTTTCTCATCCAGTAACTTCCAACACTAATTAGTGGCTGCTTGCAGCCTTGTTAGAAGCGAAGATGTATATATATATATATATATATATATATATATATATATATATATATATATATATATATATATATATATATATATATATATATATATATATACAATATAACTTAAAATGATATATTAATATAAACGACATAACATAAAATGATACTTTGTAAAATAAATTTAAATCGACTGCGTAAAAAATTTATAATTTAAAAAAAAAAAAAAAAAAAAAAAAAGCATTACAAAAAGCGTTACAAAAAACGTCATATTCTCGCGTAAATAACCGAATAAAATAACGTTTTAATTGATGATTAATAGTTATTTTATAATTGTTAATTATGTGCACCTTCGTGTATGTAATGAAAAATTGTCGTAATTTAATAAATATTTAATAAAAAAAAAGACCAAAAAGTAGAGAACTCAAGCTACTTCTTTAACAATAAATATCGTTTTCGTTTTATCTACCTGTGGTGTTTTAAATACACAAAAACGCGACTTAAAGTTACGCAGTTTCAAGATAAAATTTATTTTAATTTGAAAAGTTCTCTTAACAATTTTCGACTTGGACTTAAAAATGTATTTCATGGCTGATTTAATTAATCATTTTACTGTCAAGTAAAAATAAAATGAAGATAAATAAAAAAGTTTTGGTTACTTGTTTTTAACTTAAAATATTGTTGTTTTGTTTTAAAGATGTAAAATCCATTTAATATGCAAAACGAAATTACTAATTCATAAAAGTTGTCCATAGACTGAATTCAAGTCCAAAAAAAAAATCACTCGTAAGAAGCATTAAAAATATAAAATTCTATTGAAATAAAGTTCATAATCTTCCTCACTAAAACGAAAAAACTTCAATTTTGTTAGCATGATATTTTTTTTATTTAATTGTAAATGTGTGTCATGAATAATTAATGCTCGCTTACATTAGCTTGTTTATTTTAAGCTTAAGAAATAAAAGTAAAAGGGTCAGGAGTATAAAAAACTAAATAAAAACGGAAAATTTACTTTTGATGAGTTTAAATAAAAAACTGAAAATTCGAAATTTTTTTATTAATTAAAACACAAGCGTTTTAATTAATAATATACTTTTTTTTTTTTTTGACAGTTTTGAAAATCCGAAAAGTATACGGATTTCTTTGTTTTAATTTAGTTTTTAATTTTTATAGATAAATGTTTATTGTTTTTTTTTATTTAATTTATATATTAAACTATTGGATAATTTAATAATAGATCATAATGGAAAAAAAAAATCGTTTGCTTTACTTATTTATATATTTTTGGCTTATCTTAATTTTTGCTTTCATTTTCAATTGGTTTTAGTTTAATCTATTTTTTTGTTTTCTTTTAGTGCACGAATATATATGTTTTTCACGAATGGATCCTAACTTTTGTATTATTGAATTTTACCGTGTCTTCTACTTTTTCTGTTTCATCACTACGGGTACAAGTTTAAAATTAAAAAAGGATAGACAAACTGTGGTCATTTTGTCATTTGACGGATTTCGGTACGATTATGTAGAGCGCGTAAATATGCGTCACTTTAAAGAATTTGCTAGGAATGGAGTTAAAGCTGACTCTTTGAAAAGCGCATTTGTCACAAAAACGTTGCCCAACCATTTTACTATGGTAACTGGTCTGTACGAGGAATCACACGGAATAATATCTAACTACATGTATGATCCAAAATATGCGGAGTACTTTGATCCAGTACTGTCTTCAAAAGACTCTAAATGGTGGAGCAGTGCAGTTCCTATATGGATAGAAAATGAGTTGCAGTACCTTCAAGACGGCAATCGGACTCGTAAAAGTGCTACGATTTATTGGCCAGGGTCAGAAGCAACTTATAACGGACACTGGCAATATTATACGGAAAAAAAATATAATCAAAATTATACATTTAAAGCTCGAGTTGATAAAATAATAGATTTGTTACTTGAACCTGATCCAGTAAACTTTATTGCATGCTACTTTGAAGAACCGGATTATACAAGTCATAAGTATGGGCCAGATCATGAAAACACATCAATCGTACTTCAAAAAGTTGATGGACTGCTTGGTTATTATATAAATAAATTAAAAAAAGCAAACCTCTACACCAAAGTAAGAAGTTTAGTTGTGAAAAAAAATTTCCAGTGCTTTTCTTTTATGTATGACTTGCTTCTTTGTAATAGCCGTTTATTTTATAACTTTGCATTTAAATTATGGCAGTATTTATAATTAAATTATATTTGTTATTAAAAATAATTACTAGTTAAGTTTCAAGGGGGTTATTAAATGAAAATCTTTTTTTTTAGATCAATACAATTATTGTAAGCGATCATGGAATGATGTTCGTAAAAAAAGAAAATGTCAAAACACTTACAAACTACTTACATCCTGATGCCTATAATATTTATAGCTACGGCACATTTCTTCTAATTCAGCCTAAACATGGGTTGCTGGAAGAAGTCTACTTTAATTTGACAAAGGTTGCTCATTTAAAAACTTATAAAAAAGAAAGCATACCATCACAATGGCACTATAAAACCAACAGGAGAATAACAGATATTTTTTCAGTAGCAGATCCCGGTTATTACATATCACCAAATGAAAATGTAACTGCTGAGATATTAAGTGACTTTGGAGATCACGGCTACGATAATAATATAAAAGAAATGCATGGTATATTTTTAGCGCACGGACCGGCTTTTAAAAACGGTTTAAATGTCGGATTAGTTGAAAATATAGACTTATACGTTCTTATGTGTGAAATATTAGAGTTAAAACCGAATCCTAACAACGGTTCATTACCTCGAGTTTTAGGAATGCTACAAGAAAAAACGTTGTTTTCTATAATTAAACAAAATCCCACGTTCGTTGTGATTCTACTTTCGATTTGTGGTTTGTTTTTAATTGGAGTACTTTGTGCGTGTAGTCTTTCGTGTTTTCGTAGTATTAAAAAATCGGCAAAATATGCAGCACTTTATCAAAAAGAGGTTCCTTTGTCAGAATGGTCAGAAGATGAAGAATTTTTTACGCGAAGCAATTAAATGTCGTGTGACCCAAAACAACAATTAAAAAAAAAAACATATATAGAAAGTGCCACTGGTTATTAATTAGTTTTTTTTTCAAATGATTTTAATATTTAATATATAAATCTATGATTATAGAAAAATAAATTTTTTTAATAATGCTTCTTTTGTTTTTAATAATCGAAACAATACATAAATTAAAACAAAACATTAATTAGAGAAAATGACAGACGGAGGTGAATTACTTAAAATTTAACACAAAAAATGAGTACTTATACTTAAAACTTCTTTTATTTTTTTTGTAATTGTTTAGCGTTAGTTTTATGACTCTACGGATTAGATTGTATTATTTTCGACAATTAAACAACTTCTCAAACGTTTGGCGAGCAAATCGTTTTACGTTCGGCAATTCTAAACGAGATATCGAACATGAAATGTTTGATGGGAAAATTATATAATAGCTGTTAAATAAATAATGTGAACAATTTGCGAATCATTAGCGTTAAAGATTTTTTTATTTAAACCAAGATTTTTTAGATCATTTTTTCCATTTTTCTTAAGTTAGTTTTCTTAACATCCTTTAGATAGCAAAATTTTAAATATGCAAAAAATTGATAAAATATTTTAAAGTTCACTCATTGCTTATTTCGATATTCTAAATATATATTTTAAGAATGTTGAAATCTACTCATCAAACATTCTCGCACATTTTTTCGTTAGTCAAAAATTATCTAAAATAAATAGTAATAGTTACATAAATACATGCACAAATATATATATATATATATATATATATATATATATATATATATATATATATATATATATATATATATATATATATATATATATATATATATATATATATATAAACAATATTCGCACAAGCTAACAGATAATAGTCATACGAAAGTGGATTGCTTTTAGCCAAAGAATTCGAAACTTCTTGCCGAGTGCAGAACATGCGATTGCATTTCAAAGTGAGATTATTATACGGTGTTTAATCATTCATTACTGTTTCACCTGTTTCACGCTTCACTACAGTTCTGCCTTTTGCAGACTGAGAAACCAATGAAAAATCGAAGTAGATTTGGCTAAATATGAACTTTAATTATAAAATTAATATTTTTTATAATGATAAACAAATATGAGCATTAATTATGTGGATTCGATTGATAGTTATTATCTTGCTGGGTGTGGCGTACGGCAAGCAAGCAAGTAAGTTTCAAACGGAGTAAACTATCCAAACTATGTTATTGATTAAAGTTATTAACAAAAGGTTGTTGATGAGTTCAACTGATTTTTAAAACAAAATGTTTGAATGCTAATAGTTTGTTTTTTGTATTCAAAACAAAATCAAACTCAATAACAAAATGCAATTGCTGGCATATTACTAATTAAATGACAATTACAAATAATATTATTATAAAAACTTTGCACTTTTTTTTAAATAAAAAACTAAACAAATGGGTTTGTAGCAGAAAGTTTCTTGTTTTATGGTTTACAGCCGTAGCTTAGTTCTGGCTTAGAACTGTAAATTTCCATGTTCGAGCCCAATATTGGTAAATAAGGAGGCGTAAACTTCCTGATTAAACGCTGTTTGATTGCCTGAAAAAGCCTTTTCACTGCCGTTTTATTTTAAATGCTTTTAAAATAAAAATTGGTTCGTTTTTTTTTTTTTTTTTTCTTTTTATTAGACGACATCTTTTTATTAGACTCGATTTACTTTAAACACTTTTAATTAAATTTATTTATTTAAATAGTTTTAATTAAATTTATTTGTTGTTTCCTTTGAACTAATTAAAAAAAAGAAGCAGTTTAATAAAAAGTTTCAAATAAAGTTTATAAAATCTTTTATTAAGTATGTAATAACGGATAATAAAGTAGAAAGTTGTATTGCAATGTTAGTAATATTATATTTAAAACTATTTTATTTTAATAGAAAATACCTCTCCAAAAAGTCATATTAATGTGTCTCGATTACATCAGCCTTCTAAAAGAGGTACGATTGTTACGAAAAATAATAACGAATACACTGGTACAAAACCAATTCGGAGACAAGAAGTTATACACGTGTTAAACGAGAAAAATGTGGAAAATGATGACGATATTGAATCTTATGGTAAAGTAATAGACTCCAACAACGATGAAGTAACAAACAAAGAAAGCAACACGAAAGCAAAAAGTTATGTTCCGGAAGGTAAAACCAATTCAGTATCACATACTCGAGAGTTAATTGCTAAAATAAAAGAGATTCAAGACAAACTTTTTAAAAGAACTAATGCCAAAGAACTAGCAGATGAGTTGGCGCAAATGTCTCCTGATTCTTCTTCGCCATTAAATAAAAAAAAAGATTTAGACGATCGTTCTAACGAAAGTGTTGCGAATAATAAACTTGATCAAGACTTCTTTCAGTCCGAAATAAAATCGTTGGATGAAGTCATAAAAAATATTTCAGCTAAAAGACTGTTAAAACAATACGAAACTAAAAAGACAATAAAAGATAACGCTAATTCTAGTAGTCCAATAACAAGCATCGGAGACGGTTCTAAAGGTCCCGTGAGAAGAAAAATAATTCCTGAAGAGGTTGTTGATAAAATATTAGAAAAATTTCAGCAACTAAGATCAGAAGCGAAACACATGGCGCTATTGGAAGCACAGAATAAGAACTTAAATGAGGATAAGAATAGCGCTCAAACTCAAGGTAAACTTTTAAAGTAAATTGAACAAGTAACATATACTAAAATTGATATATTATTGAACTTGATATTAAGTTGGTTTAATTGTTACGTTATCATTTTGTTAATTTTTGTCTTTTTTAATTAGAAACACAAGCTTCAAATCCATATGCTAGTATTGGACCTGCAAAGGAAAACCTTGAACTAAAAAATCGAACAGGTGGTGCAGTGAAATCGATAGGAATTAATTTAAAACCGGATTCGTTACCAATAGCTTATACAAACCCATCTTCTATATCTCTAAACAATCAAGTTGGATCGGTGCAGATACCTATTGAAAATAGTGCTTCAGAAGCTGCTAAAGACCTTGGAAGTATAAAAGAAATACCAGGTGTTCCATTAATGTTCATAAAAAACGGAGAAGCATTAGTTCCAGTATATGGAAGTAATTCTCATCCAAAAATTTCATACACAGACACAGGTATGGCAGAATTAAAGGCAAATCCATCTGTAGGTTTACCTAGTTTACCGGTTAATATAGTTCCTCTGGCAAGTTCTCGGCAACAATCGTCTGCGTTTACAGAGCTTAATCCGATGGATCAGTTTCTTACGACGCAATCTGTGCAACAGTCAGTCCTCAAACAGCCGTATATAAACAATTTTATGCCCGCTCATTTAAGTCAAGCACCACCCAGTTTACGCTGTGAAATAGCAGGAATTAGTTGTCCAACACCTACAATTGCTCAACTTTTTCAACAAGCATCAAGCCTTCGTGAACAGCTGCAACAAGAACAAATGGAAAACATGCATCAATTAAGTAAAAACTATATGGCTTTGCCATCACCACAGCAGTTGCAGCAAGAACAATACATTCGTCAATATAACCAGCGCCAGCAAAAAATTCAAGAGTTGCAATTATTAAAGCAAGAACAAGAGCGATTGCAAGCACAGCAACAACAACTGGCTTCTGGTTTGTCAAATTTTGAACAAAATAACTTTGAAAACAATAACAGAAATTTGCATATTCCTGAGAATATTGACATGACTCATAATAATTTCCCACATTTTATAAAAGATAAATTACCGCAAATACAACTGCAACAAGAACACCAGGAAGAGGCTGGAAACTATCCTATAAATAACTTATTTGGAAGCAACTCTCCATCTATGCAAACCGAGCCATCAACTATTTCTCTAATCAATGATATTTTAAAAACGCCAGACATTCCTCGCTTAACCACACAAGTTATGGATGAAAACTCTCCTTATCACTATAGAGCCAATCAGAATGATCAAACAAATACAAGAGGTTTTAATGATTTTACAAGTAATTTTGCTAATTCAAATAGTGGCGCAATTCAAAGCATGCGCACTGGAGATATTCAATTCAATCTAAAACAGAATCTCGCAAAATCAAATTATCCAGGAGAATCTTCTATGATTGAAAATACGCAAAATTTTATGCATGATCCCTCAAGTGTTTCACAAATACAAAACTATCCAACAAATCCTGTTCTTCCTCTAAGAAGAAATCCGTTTCCAGAGCATGATGATATCGAGGATCAAGACAACTTTCACGATAAGAATGCTGTTTTGAATAATATATCTGACCCACCAACCGAGCAATCTGAAGAAGAAGAAAGTCGTTTTCGTAACCAAAATCCAGATGAACTTTTAAATTATGCAAATATGAGATCAATGGAACGTAGTTTTCATCCAGATAATCGTCCAACTGCATCGATAGATTCTTTAAATAGAGATGAAAACCGCATATCAAATATTCAACAAGGCTCTGAAAGAGCATTGATGAGGATAGGAAACGCAGTTGATCCCTCTACATTACTAGACAAAATTCAAGGTACGGAACTTAAAGGAGGTCTTTTGGGCGCTGGTGATCCTAACTGGTTCAGCCCAACTTTTAAAAATAATGAAGATAAAGAATCTATATTAGATAGTTCACCGGATGATTTATTAGAATCTCTTCGAAAGCAAAACGATAAAATCTTTGAAAAAAATGGACAGGATATGGCGTTAGAATTCAGAAAAAGTCACCTTCAAACTGAATTTGGTAGATCTAGAGCAGATATTCCGGATGGTATAGATCCAAGTTTTGCTGATGAAATTCAGCCTATTCCTGCTAGATTCGATGTTAGGTCTAAAGAAAGGTATTTACAAAGTCATCCTAGTTTATATAAAAACAATGTTTTTCGGAACGTTCAATCAAAAATAAACAATCAACCAACTCAGTTTTCAGTGCTATCTGGGGATATGGTTCAATATAAGCATGGGCGCATGTCTGTTGATTCATCAAACGTAATAAACTCATTTCTTTCAGAGTCGCCGCAATATAGAAATAAAATTCTTCGACCTACGCCTTCCTCTGTTAAAAATGACTCTCTTAAATATTTTGTTAGAAATACAATAGCAAAAACTTTACCTGACGACTCTATTAAACATAGATTCGACAAAAGCCTATCAAATGACACTGTTTTGGTTCAAAAAAACGAAAATTATGAAAAAAAAACAATTAGTCATAGATCAAAAACATTCATACCTAGTGATCAATCAATTCAATTATTACATGAAACAGATAAAAAAAAATTTGTAAATATTAAAACAAAATCTAAGTATAACGTGACAGAAAAAATAAAAAGAAATAAAATCAGTATAGTCAAACTTCCCGTATAATACCGATATTGATAAATAATTTTTGTATCGTGGGAGTATAACGGTATGATGGTTACTGACCATGGCTCACGGTTCACGGTTCATGATTCTTAATTCAGCTGATACAACAATACAGATATACGTATAGTACCGTAATCAGTAATATAAGTGCTTCGGTATAGTAAATAATTGGAACAAAATTTTTATCAAGAATTAAAGCATTCGACGTACCATGGAGTTTCGTGTACCACGAGGGTACATATGATATCACATTTTGTGCATACATTTGATACTGCATTAGAAAATTGTAAAGAAGTGATTAAAATTTTTTGTTGATTTGAAGGACCGCTAGAAATTTTGCTGATGGCGGATATAAATTGAACAAATATAATGTTTAAAAAATTATTTGATGTGGTCGTTTTGCAATACGTGTTGTTTTTTTGTGATTTTTCTGAAAAATTGTAAATATATGTGGATTGTATATATTACTTATTTATATGTTTAAATATATCTCTATACATATAATTCATATTAAAAAATTAGCTCCATATAAACGCTAATAAAAGATATATACATATTTATATATATATATATATATATATATATATATATATATATATATATATATATATATATATATATATATATATATATATATATATATATATATATTTATATATATGTAAGCTGTGATATGTTTTAATTGTAAAGCGTTTCTTACAAGTATCAAAAAGTAAATAATAAAATTACTATTTAGGGTAAACAGGGGTATAGTGAAATACTTTCAAACTTAAAAAAAAATCATTTAAAGAAAAAGCATTTCAAGATAAAATAAATATTTAAAAATTTGGGTATATATTCAAAAAATTCAATATTGGGGTAAAGTCAACTGCTTCATGCTTTAACTCTTTTGTGTTTAATATTTCTGTGAAACATTTTTTTTATTTTATATATTGTTTTGCAGCTTCTTTGATTTGATCTTTCTTGTTTATTGTGTAAATGAGCACCATGCTTTGTGGCCATTAACTCTTGTATTCATTAATATATATATATATATATATATATATATATATATATATATATATATATATATATATATATATATATATATATATATATATATGTATATATATATAAATATATATATATATATATATATATATATATATATATATATATATATATATATATATATATATATATATATATATATATATATATATATATATATATATATATATATATATATATATATATATATATATATATATATATATATATATGGCCAATGCCTAGCCAATGGTCTTTCTTATTTTTTAATTTTTTGTCTTTAAAAGACAACGCATAAATGATCAATTAATGTTTATATGAGTGCCACTGTCAATCACTCAGGTTGGGTCGACAAAAGTTTATGGGCTTAGTTCCTTCATCTCATTTACTAATCCAAATGAAGACTAATTGATTTTTTAAATCCTAAATAACAATGGTACCGATAACAGTTTCGATTGCTAGCTTTATCGTCAAAGTTGAATCGTATCGTTATCGTTTACGCCACGAATTCGTGGCGTAAACGATAACGATAAAAAATGTAAAGCTAGCAATCGAAACTGTTATCTTCAGGTAAAACGATGTTTTACCTGAAGATATGCTTCTGTGTAAGTCTGTGCTGTTTATTTCGTTCAATAGACTTAAAATATTGGAAGTGTTTGTTAATTTGTTATTGTCAGGTGACAGAACTACACCTTCTTGTGTAGTTCTTTCACCTGATGGAACTGTAACCCTTTATCTAACACCAATTCAAATAAATCACTCAACGTAGCTTTTAAATATTGTCTCTGTACCTAGTTTTCCAAAAAAGAAAATCAGAGAGTGTTTAAGAAAAAAACATTCACTATAATTACTAGTTCTCCAATGCAAAGTTTTTTAGAGGGCAAGCAGCAGAGTAAAAATAATGTGAAACAAGAAGTAAAAAAGGCTTGTGGTAAGAGTAAGAAAGGATTGGAAGATTTTTAAAAATTTTGAGGCAGTTCACGTACCACAGAAATAAAAAAAAACAAACAGAAAATCATTGTTAGTGTTAAAAAGAAAGATTATAATCCGTCCAAGAAAAACTGGATTATGTGTTACAAATGTAGGTCTAGGTTGCACAAGAATTGAACTAATGGAGAAAGCACAACTCGAGGTTTTGTTTTTAAATTTTATTATAAAATCAAAATTTATTTGTGTTAATAAATCTTATTATAAAATCAAAATTTAGTTTAAAAACAGTTTTGCTTTCAACCCTAAATTTTGATTTTATGCTAAGATTTATATAAATTGCTTTCAAGAGTTTGTTAATGATTAGTTAGATTACATGGTAAACAAATAAATGATTAATTTCTTATAACAGTAGACTTTTATTCGCGATCCCGCATAGGTGTTCGCCAATATCACACTTTTTCCAATTCTTTTCAGATAGACGTATTATGTACAAATCTTTTCATAATATGTAATAATAACGGTTTGATACCGCTTGAAGAGTTGAATTTGTTTTTAGAAAAAAAATATGCATTCAGTATCTGAAGTTGAAAAAATAGAACTTTTTATTTGGTTGCTTATGTGTTGGAGGACAGTGTATATTTATAAACTATTAGTTTAAATAATTTTATCGGCTAAGTGTAGACAAGTGTAAATATTTTCTGACAACGGTATTACATGCTCCCTTGTATTGTAACACGTAAAAACATTATTTCATTTTACTCTGTTGTGCGATTAGCATGACTATAATCATTATAATATTAACATTGATAGATTAAGTTTTTTTCAAAATAATAAAATTCGAATAAGTATTTGATATTATTTTAAGATGATTTATTTTCGGAGATGTGGAGTTCCAGAATGAACTCCGGATTTGAAAGTCACAAAATTGTTACTTTTTCCTGGTTTTTGGTATCCAGGAGCTCCAAAAATGTAGAGCGGTTTATAGACTACTTTCGGGGGGGGGGGGGGATGGGGGGAGGGGGGAGGGATTAAGACTTGGATACTAGAGGGCTTACCAAACTTTGAATCTCTTGGCTAAAAACTACTAGTTTTCATACATTTTTTTCATTTTTGCATATTAGGTTATTGTACAAAATATATTCAAATTTTCTATTTCGCATATTGCACATAAGGAAGTGTAAATTTCATCTGTTCACGTAGGTTTTTTAAATTTGGTTAGTTTTGGATCATAATTCTTCATTGATTAATTTATTATAAACATTTAAGTTCATAAATTTCTTTACATATAACCTTTTAATTAAGATTCGAAGAAAGTCATTATTTTTCTTTAAAAAGCTTTTACGTAAAACGATTTCTTTAGTTTTCGCTACTTTAGTTTAAAGCAACTTCTTCTAGCGATGTTGTGAATATCAGCTATGTGAATATAAGATAATATCGAGTGATTAAGTTAAAAAAGAATCTTTTTTAACCTTATTATAATTAAAAAAGATTTTTTTTAAACTTTGTTTACTCAATCTAATTTTGTATTTTATCCATTCTAGTTATGCTTTAATTGGAACTTATTTTTGGCCAAAAATCTCCCAGCGAATAGTTCGCGCAACTAACAAAACTAAGTGTCGTGTAGATTGGATTATTTTTACGTTTGGTTCAGTCTAAACTAAAATATGCAGTTAAGTAACCAAAGTTCATGGCTTAATTGGTCAAAAAGTGAGTGTTTTAATGTGTTAGTATGTTAAAATATAGGTTACATTTTTTTCATTGAAGAATATATGTATTTTTACACATTCTTTGTATTATTTAAATCATGATAAATAAGTCTACAAAAAGATGCTCAATAAACCACAATGCTACCTCTTCAATACACATAGTTTTACATTTGAATTTGATCTTTGCATTACTATCTTTCTTTTTAGCTAGAGAATTTTTAAAATTTAATAAATATATACCGTAACACGGGATTACTTTATGCCTTGCGGTCCTCCTTTAATCCACTACAGAAAATTTGAGTTTCATGCTTCTCCTGTTCAAACGTCCAAAAAGTGGCGGGTTTTTTTTCTATTGGTTAATTTATATACGACTAACACTGTTAAAAAACCATATTGCCTTTTCCGTACACTAAATAATCTAACTTTGAAATGGATGTCAAAAAGTAATTGAAATTGCTAGTGAAATTGACTTGGCAGAACTTTTGTTTGGTTTGTTATTATCGCACACACTACAGAGATAAAAAATCTCTGAGTTTGCTAGACTAACACCTTAGTTAAAAGATTTGAATATTTTTTTAGTTATTTTTTTTATTTAGTTTTAAGAAAAAAACACCTAATCACATTTAAGTTAGACTTAAAGTAACCCCATATCATTTATTAAATCTCCAATCATTTTATTCATATTAAATTAATATACATTTGTTTATTTATTTTGGTGATATGATTGGTGATTGATTTATTTCTTTATTTAATTTATTATTATCATTATTATTATAAAAAGTGTAATAAAATTAAAGTAATTAACATATAATATTATACTATATATTAATAAAATATATATAATATTATATGTTAATGAGTTTTTGCTGTTGTTTGTCTGTTTTTGAATTATTTTAGTCTCTGCTTTGAATTAGTTTTTATTTACTATTTGCAAAAATCAATATTAGTTTTTACTTGTCTTTTTACAAAAATCAATATTCGTTCCCTTAAAAGGTTCCTTTGCATTTTCTATTCATAAAAATAGTATTGTTGTTGGTAAAATATATTGAGGCCTTCATTAATAGCCTTAACGCTATTAATAAAGGCCGAATGAGTCAGAGAGTAGCATCTAAACTTTTTTGCATATCTAGAATGACCATTCAAAGTAAACTAAAGCTAAAACACAATCAAAAACCAGGACATCCTACAATATTTACTGCTTTGGAAGAATCTTCTTTTGTTTCTTACATCTTGGCAGTGTCTGAGTTTGGATTCCCTGTTGATGAATTGGATTTTAGATTTATTGTCAAGTATTACCTCTCTTCCCAAAACAAAACTATTCCACAGCTTAGAAACAATTTTTCAGGACTTGAATGGAGTAAATTATTTTAAAAAGACACCCTATGCACACTTTGAGGTTGGCAGCTAATATAAAACATTATCGGGCTGCTGTTAACGAAAAAACCTTATGCGAGTTTATTGAAAACCTCAGCCAAGTTGTTACAAATGTGCCAGCAGAAAATATATACAACTATAATGAAACAAACTTAAGTGATGATCCAGGTCGCAAAAAAATTATGTGTTTTAGAGGCTGTAAATACCCTGAAAGAGTAATGAACTCATCAAAGTCCAATATTTCAGCCATGTTTTGTGGCAACGTTGTTGGATGTACAATACCATCTTACGTTGTCTACAAATCAGAAAATCTGTTGTCAACGTGGACTGAAAACGGTCCCCATGGAACTAGGTACAATTGCACAAAACACGGATGGTTAGATAGTGTCACATTTGAGGAGTGATTTACTGCTCACCTGCTTCATATACTGAAAAAACAGACTGGAAAAAAAGTTCTTATTGGAGGTAATTTATCATCACACATCAGTCAGAATGTTTTAAAATTATGTCAAGTAAATAACATAGTATTTGCGTGTTTACCACCTAACTCATCGCATTTAACACAGCCTCTAGATGTTGCATATTTTAGGCCACTAAAAAGAAGTGGAAAACTGTTTTGACTCTGTGGAAGGAATCACCTGCAGGTAAAAAATCTACAACACTTCCAAAAGTACGCTTTCCACCACTTTAAAAAAAGTACCGGAATTAATAAAAGACACTTCTAGTGAAAATTTAATATCAGATTTTGCTAAGTGTGGAACTTATCCTTGTAATAAAGAACATCTTATTAATCGTTTGCCACTGCAGGATCGATCATCTGTTGATCTAAGCCTTATTTCTAAAGCATTTATCAGTCATTTAAATGACAATCGTGCTGACCTTGTACATTCAATATCAAAGCGCACAAAGAAACTAAATGTTCCACCAGGAAAAAGAATCTGTCCTTACTCAGAAGAATCAGAAGTTGTACCAGTCAAAAATCCCCTAAAACCGCCCCAGAAACGAAAAAAAGTTAATTGCGATATCTCTAGTGCAGCGTCTAACAGTCAATATAAGTCTAGGTTGCCCGTGCCCGCTGGGTATAAGTCTAGGTTGCCCGTGCCCGCTGGGTATAAGTCTAGGCTGCGGGCTTTTAAATCTGATTGAAACAATTATTTTTAAACATTAAATGTTTATATGTAGTAGTTACTTACCCACCAATTTAGTTATTGTTTTATTATAACAGAACAAAAAAAAGATTAATAAAATATACAAAGTTTTCTGTATAACTTCTATTTATCTTTTGCTTTAAATAGATCTAAAGACAATTGTTTTAACAATATAGAAGTATTTCTTTAAGTAAATTTTAAGTAAGTGTTTGTTTTAACATTATGGAGGTATTCACCTAAGTAACTTTTTTCAACAAAAAAAGAGGCAATTCCTTAAAGATCAGAACTTTGTTCGTCTTAGCAATGTAACTATTTTATGTGCTAATATTTTATTTATTTATAGTTGTTACCACAAAATATTTGACTACCGGTTTTTGGTAGGTAATTTTTTTTTTAGCTAAGTAAAGTAAATTTTCTTACCTTCCTTATGTTTGTTATGGAGATCTTGGTTGAAATAATTTTAAAAGTTGAAGTTTTTCATTCGGATTTCTGATATTTGTGCTTTCTTGTAGTAGTTTTTCTTTTAACAACACTCATGTTCCAATAAATTAGACTTTAACTTAATTTGTTATGGAGGGGCATAGTGAATCAGGGTACAGTGAATAGGTTGATTCACTATGTCCAATTAATTATTTTAAAGATTAAATTCATGCATTTTAAAGAAACAAACTACATGCAAATGAATTTATTAGTTTTAAAGTTTTGAATAATAATATTTGAATAAGTTTTTAATTTTTTAATACTTTTATAAGTTTTGTTATCAATAAAATTCTTTTTTTTCTTCTCAATTTTCAAAATGTCTATTTTTTCATTTTTACGCTAATCTAATTGATAAAATTATGCCAAAACTTTAGTGTACAGTGCCTTTAGCCTCATATTTATATGGCTATGCTCCTATTCACTATAATTAATTCACAGCTGTTCTTATTGAATCACTGTGCCCCAGTACTGGGGTACAGTGAATAACGTAACACAACTCACTCTAAACCTTTCTGTGAGCCGTTAGATAATAAATATTTGGATTTTAGTGATTTATTATCACGAAGAACATATATCCCAATCCTTTCGCCTTGAAAAAAATAAAATACATATTTTAACTTTTGCTTAATTTAAAAAATAAAGAAATCCGATCCACTGTACCCCAACTTCCCCTACTACTGTGAATAAAAAGTATAAACTGCTACAAAAGAATAATTTAGGAATTATATATAGTGTATTTAAACTGACTGTTTCAATATACTGTTACATTATATTAGTAATGAACTGAAGTATTGACAGAATTTTTTTATTTTGACAGATTTAAATAATAATTTTTCATACATTTGTTGGCGTTTATCTTAAAAAAATGTATTTCTCTCTTTTATATTTATTAGTATCCATTAAGTTGTATATTCAAAAACAAAAGTATTTTGTAGTTTGTTTTTCAAAGTTATGACCACTCACGCTGATATTGATGGTAAAATTTTAGAAAGTCTTTTAGAAAATATTTGAAATCATTTATGACCACTCACGCTGATATTGATCGTAAAATTTTAAAAAATTCTTTTAGAAAATTTTGAAACCATTTATGACCACTCACGCTGATATTGATCGTAAAATTTTAGAAAGTCTTTTAGAAAATTACAAAGAAGAAGAATCACATGTTATATTAAAAGTTCGTCAAGCCAAAGATTGTATTTTATTGAAATAGAACTTTTGTTTTTAGATTTGACACTAAAAAAACTTACATGCACAATAAAAAATACAACTTTATTGATTACCAAATTACTTATCCGAAATGATAAGAACGTTAAACATCTCAAAAGTGGGGTTAAGATTGAATTTTCAATTGTAATAAGAATCTTTGGTTGAAAAATATTTAGAATATTAAAATTAAATTTTTTTTTCATAAAAGTAAAATCCTATTTCCGTTACGCGACGTATAGTGCAGTAGTGGATTTAACGTTTTGATATATTAACACATTATTGAACAACCAACTTCAGATATCGACAGTTACGACAGTTGCCGAAAAAGAGCCGGCCAATAATTTACTATTTTGTATAATTATTGCCGACTATATAATCCTACATCGGGTTTATATTTTTTATGTCAATTATCTGATACTCTGTGGGTGTGCAATAGCATCAATTGATCAACTGCTGACGTTTTGTATACTTCATTATAGCGAAAGGGAGGGGAAGGTTCTTTAACACTCAAATATAAACAGAGAAAAAAATGCAAAAATTCAAAAATTTTTATATAAGTTTTTACACATATTACACATATAAATATTCTAAAAACAATTAATATACTGTTATTACTCTCTTATTCAAGTTATTGAATCAAATATTTATGCAAAGTAGTTAACTATGACTTATAGTATAAATTATGAATTTCAAAAATAACTCTGTATAGAAATTCTAGATATTTCTATAGAAAATTCTTAAGATAATCATTTATTGACATATTGTTGCAGATTCAAAAGAAAACAAACTTTGCGTGTTATTATATTGAATTTTTCATACTCTTTTGATATTTCAAAAGCAATGGTTTAAAACTCTAAAGAAATCTATTGAATCTGTGTCCTTAGCAACAAGAAAAAACGTTTAATCTGCATAATAGGTGGTCTGTAAGACGGATAGTTTATGGATTCATTTTATGGTTGGTCTATAGCATAGACCATTTATAAAATGAACAGTCTATAACATAGATCGTGTGTAAAATAGATAAACTATAAAAATGGATAAACTCTAAAATCCTTTAGAAAACTTTACAAACAACTTAAATAAGTTACTAACTTTTCTAACAATAAATTTAAACGCTTATAAACATAATTCTATAAAATTAAATCAAAGTCGTTGCATGTCTAAATACTATTTCCACTTGTATCTCAGTTTATCGTCATAATTTTTTTTTTTTTTGCAAATAAAATATTTATAGTATTATATAGAAACCTGTCAAACATTCCGCTGTATTTTAAATCTTGAAATCCGTAAAAAAATATCCAAATGTACCATTACCAGCATACATACACAGTATTATAAACATATACCAGTATAATTGCTTGGCTCAAAAATAACAACCAGCAAACCTTTTCTTTTTTTTTCCTCTTTTGTATTGAAATGTTTTAGTAATTATAAATTTATACAACGTCTTTTAAATTACTGCCTGTGCTCCCACTCGCTTTTGGTTGTTCAGGAACAATATCTTCACCTTCTTTAAGTTTACTAGCATCCCAAATTCTTATAGAGCCATCAAAAGAAGCAGTATATAACTTTGTTCCTCGCATCTAAAATTGTAAATGAATGCATTAAAGAACTCTAAATATTAAGATGTTTGCTAAAAGTATTTATGCTGTTAGGCATTAAAGTATTTTTACTGTTAGGCAGTTAAATGTTTGGTAAATGTACTGTTATGAAGCTAGATGTTTGCCTAAATTATTGCTATGCAGTTAGATGTTTACTTAAAGTACTGTTATGCAGTTAGATGTTTGCTAAATGTACTGTTATACAGTTAGATGTTTGCTAAATGTACTGTTATACAGTTAGATGTTTGCTAAATGTATTGTTATACAGTTTGAAGTTTGCTAAATGTACTGTTATGCAGTTAGATGTTTGCTAAATTTACTGTTATGCAGTTAGATGTTTACCTAAATTATTGTTATGCAGTTAGATGTTTACTTAAAGTACTGTTATGCAGTTAGATGTTTGCCTAAATTATTGTTATGCAGTTAGATGTTTGCTAAATGTACTGTTATGCAGTTAGATTTTTTCTAAATGTACTGTTATGCAGTTAGATGTTTGCTAAATGTACTGTTATGTAGTTAGATGTTTGCCTAAATTATTGTTATGCAGCTAGATGTTTGCTAAATGTACTGTTATGTAGTTAGATGTTTGCCTAAATTATTGTTATGCAGTTAGATGTTTGCTAAATTACTGTTAGGCAGTTAGATGTTTGCTAAAAGTACTGTTAGGCAGAACCAAAGCAGTTTCATGCAAAACATGAAGAGTAGGATAAAACAAAAAAAATAATTTATATTTGTATTTTAAAAAGTTATAATAATAAAAATTTATAAAATTTAAAAAGTTATTGCATAAATTTTTCCTTTTCTTTATTTGACTTGGATTAGTTCTAGCTGCTAAAATAATATACTACTGAAAATTTTTTTATTTTATTTTTATTATATTCTTCTCAGTTAAACTTATTTTATATATTTTTTTGAGTATTATAATAATATGTAATATATTATTGCAAATATTTTATTATCTCTCTAACATAATATTTTTGGTAACAAATGACTTAAAATAATCTATGGATTATTATGGATTATCAAACAAATATATGGATAAAGTATGCAAACTTAGGCTATTTCAAAATGGACTGTTTTTATCTTGCATTAACAATGTTATGTTCAACAACAAAAAATTCAATTACATAAAAATATAATTTTACCTTGGTTACATAATTGGAGGCACTACACAGAAATACAGAATAAGAAATCTATATGAATATGTTGGATGTAAAATGGTCTGAGAGACTATGCCTAATAATTTCTAAAACATTTTTTTTTAATATCTTGAGACAACACTTATTAACGTATTTGAAATACCTTTGAATAACTAATGGATTTTGAATGCAAAGAAGTTGTAGGTTGGAAAATAAAAGGAAATATTTTCCAAGAAAAACCCTCACTCCATGCCCAAGTTTGTGTGGTAGTATTCATAGAGATTGATTCCATCAAGGGCTATAAAATATCAGAGTATATTACCATGTTGCGCATGGAAAAGATTTATGCTAGTGTTTTAAGTGTGCATTTTGAGACCATATAAAAAGTTCTTTGTTACAAATTTATACAACTGAAATTTAGGTTTAGGAATATCTTAACCACCCTGGCAACATGTAACCCAGTATAACCTACTGCATTATGTTTGTAAAAGGCATCCTATGCAAAGACTTCAGGGATAAGCAGAAAATCTCTGTTAATTACTACTTTTTCATCTAATAGACTGACGGATGCAATCTAGTGTTACATTGTTTTCTACCTAGGATGATGAACACAAGATCTTCTTGACTCTACTAATCTGTTGTTGCTTGTGCCTCAATCGTAATGACTACGCAACTAATTCTGTTATTTCCAAAAAAGGATGAAGCACTAAAACTCAATTTACTGGTTTTTAGGCAGACTGGTAGTAAAATTTCTAGAACTTTAAGCTAGCTCTCAGAAAAGCTGATTTCAAAACATCAGAATATTAACATTGTCAGGTTGCGCATGGAAGGTTACTTAGAACATTGGGTTGATTTGGCAGAAATGAGGCAAAATAAAAAATTGAAAGCGAGTAGTCAATTTGACTTGCTAAAACATAAAATTAAAGGTCAACTGTTTTTTTTGGCTGGTCAATTAAAAAATAAATTTTCATTGTTTTAAATTTTGTTTCATAACAGTTACTAATCTTTTTAAATTAAAAATTATCTCATGCTTTTACTTTCATGTTATTTTACTTTTGACATAATTTTAAATCAAATCATCACTTTTTTTTAACAACATCAAAAAAACATTTACAGTAACAAGGTCCAGCTTACCAAAAGGAAAGTTAGTTTTACGACTAAAGATCCTAGTTTGCCAAAATAGAATGATGTAAGGGGATGGGGGTGTGTGGGCAATGTATAGTGTCAATGCACAAACATGCTACATACATATATATATATATATATATATATATATATATATATATATATATATATATATATATATATATATATATATATATATATATATATATATATATATATATATATATATATATATATATATATAGATAGATAGATAGATAGATAGATTTAGATATATATAGATAGATATAGATAGATAGATAGATATATTTAAAGTCATATATATGTCTTCAAAATTGGGATTCGGTTACAAAAGCAAGAGCTTTGGATTTGAAAAAAATAAATAATCTCCTTAGATACTTTTATCTAAGGGGATTATTATTTTTTTATTAACATTGTGTATTTCACAATAAAGAAAAATTTAGAAAAATAGTGGTTATAAAATGTTTTAAAATGTAAATACACGGCTGGGACCAGAAAAAGACAAATTTAATTTTATCACCAAGCCCCTTTAAGGGAGAGGAGAAATTTTCATAAAAAAGTTAAATAAAATGATTTGGGTATAACCAATTTTGAAAGTATGCACTTTTAATTTAAAATATATTTCTTAATTTATAAAATTTTTTCTAAATTAATTTATAAAGAGGAGAGAAGACGGAATGTATTTCAAAAGCAAACGTACTTTTAAAGGGAGGAGGGGGAGAGGCATAAACGACACATGGCAAAAGGGGTTAAAGGGGTTCACAATTCTAAATATTTGGCGTACCTACTTTATGGATCACCCCTAAATAAACATTGCAAAAAAAAAAAAGCAACCAGTTAAAGATGAGTCTAAAACAGCTTTCGAGTGTAAAGCTTTTTATCAAATTAAAAACGGGGGTTAATAACATTAAGGTAATTTTAATTGTTTAATAATTTTGAACATTTAACCGTTAATTAACTTGTTAATTAACGGTTAAATGTTCAAAATTATTAAAAATGTTTAATATAAAATGTTTCAAATATATTTTATCAACTCTTATAAAATTAATTATTAAACATGAGAAAATTTTAATTTTAAAAGACTTTTGTAATTTAGAACCCCCTAAAGTTGTTTATTTTTAAATTTTATAATTTAAAAATAAAGAACTTTAGGGGGTTAGCAATTACAAAAATCTTTTAAAATTAAAATTAATCGCGTTCTATTGATATTTAATTTAAATAGTGACGAAGCTGCAGAAAATATGAAAATTGCGACAATGATTTGAAACAGTATGATATCCCAGACAGCAAGCTTACATTGGCCCAATGTAAGTTTTAACATTGGCAAGTTTATTCCGTTGGGCCAACATTTATCCAATGTTTTTTTTCGGCCTATTTTTTTCAATTCTACAAACCTGTTTTTTGCAAATATCGTGCCAACATTTAGCCTATGTTTTTTTTTTTCGGCGTAATATTGCAATTCTACAAATCGGTTTTTTGCAATTATCGTACTACGTTGGGCCAATATTTGGCCAATGTAGTTTAGGCTTAATATTTTGCCATAAAAATCTGTTTTTACTTTTTACCGTAGCCAATATTCGGCCAATGTAGTTGCGGATTAGTGTATACTTTTAAATTGTTTCGAAACATTTTTTAAAAATGGTATCGTTTGACAGAACAAAAAAAGGTTTTGATACTATTAGATATCTTTCCATTTAATTAAATTATAAAAATAAAAAAAAGAAGCTATATTTATTAATCTTCTAAGAATCTTAAAAGGTTTCTTATAAGAAGTAAACTTCAAGAGATTCTCGTGACTTAATGTTTTGTTTTTTTAAATGAAATATTTGTTAACATTTAAATAATATACTTAAAACATTTTTTACTACAATCTAAATTATTAATGTAATAATAAAGGCAATAATCAAATTATTTTTTTGTAAGATCTTAAAGTTATTTTTTTATTTTTATTGCTGTATTGGCATTTCAAATGTTTGTTTTATTTAATAATCTTTATTAAATTTAATTTATTAAATTTTATTATTATTTTATAAAATTTATTATTATTATTTATAAATGAATGAAACATTTCAAATGTTCGATTTATTTAATAAAAAAGACATTTTAAATGTCTTCTTTATTAAATAAATCAAACATTTAAAATGTCATAGAGTATAATTTTTTTTTTCATTATTTATAATAGTTTAGATTATATAGCTATTATAAGATATATTATTAAAGGTATCAATAATATATATGTGGCATTGAAGTTGTTAGAAGCAGATATTTTACATTTTAAATATGTCTCTTTTGTTTGATTTTTTCTGTGTTTGATTATGAAACCCTATCTACTAACATATTAAAACAAAATGTGATGTTACTAGAACTTATATTCTACTTATGTAGAGCTTTCTAATATTCCATCTTTACGAGGCAGAGGGACATTATTCTTGGTTTAATTATTTTTTAATTTAATATCTCTGGATATTTTCCATATTTAGTTTGCGTACAACAGTTAACAACTTTAAGCATTTATTATTATTACATTATTATATTACATTAACTTTAGTTATAACTTAATTAATAATGATTTGATTTATAAATTTTTAAAGCAATACAAGATTGAATTTAGCATAAGGCTAAATTTCTGCTCTGGAGACAAAAAAGGAAGACAGCGAAAATGACCAGTCAAAATAAAGATTGAAGAGACAAAAAATTGTGTATATCTTGGTGTAGATGATTTATCCTCATTTTCTAATAATAAAACAAAAAATATTATTAAACTTTGAGATTTACCTGTAACTCCAAAATCTTTACAGAAGTTTAATGTTTGCTCTGAGAAGTTGAATGAACAAAATTATTAAATGGTAAGTGTCTAATGATTGAAAATCTTTATTCATAGCTTTAACTTTTACAATTTTAAAATTTTTTTCATATATTGCTCTCGAATGCTGACCACAGAAAATATATTTAGTTGCGAAAAACTGGCCAGGTTTTTTTAGTTGTTTTGAGAACATTTACGTTTATGAACGTAACAAAAAATTTTTGTTGGATTTCAAAGTTGGTGTCATCAATTGAAAACCATTTGAAATCAAATGTTGAAAAAAACAACAGTATTTGTATTTATATCAGTATTCATATCAGTTTAAAGTTTTAGCAGTTGCTGGTGATTCATTATTATTCATTATATAAACGTTTATTTAAATTCATCTAATAGACGAAGGTAATACAATATTTTTATAGATGATATTATTTTTAAAAATAGTGTTATTAAAATTCAGAACTAAAATATGTAAAAAAAAATATTTACAAATATTGGATAAGGTCCGTACTGTACCTTGAAAATCTGGAAAATTTGTTAATATTGGCTAAAGTTGTGGAAAACCTGGAAAAGTCAGGAAATAATTTTTTTCTTTAGATAGTCATGGAAAAATCAGTAATTCTAGTTAAGAAGTTACTTGTTTCACAAATGAATGCTGTATTTTGAAAACGTGATGAGTCACACTTTTTTTAAAAGTGTGACTCATCACGTTTTCAAAATACAACGCTCAATTAAGCTATAATGTTTTTTTTGGTGCTACCCATTTATTTTTCTGAAATTTATGTTTTTCTTAGTCGTCATTGAAGTACAACTTGGTAAACTACAAAACACATCAAATTCAGTTATAAAAATTTGAGTAACAAAGGTATACTAATTATTGTATTGCCTGAAAGAGTGTCATTGCTATTAAAAGCAGTGAAGAATTCAAGTACTCCGGAAGAAAAGAAAATACGTAAGTAAATGGTAAATATTTTTTTATAATTTTTTTATGCATTTTGTATGATATCTTTAAATAAAATACTCTTTGAAGATTTTTTGTAAATTACATTTTATATTAATTTAAGTCTAAACAAAAGTTACTTTAATTATTGCCAGGTTGTGTATTTTTGCAGGTCAATTATTTGGCACAAATCAGAGTTAAAGACAAAGGAGATTGTATATTTTATTTGCTAAGAATAGTTTTTTAAAATGGCCTAGTTGTAAATTAAACTATGCAGGGAGAGGACAAAAAATTGGAATAGAAAAAATATTGATTGCATATGCTGCTATTGGTAAGTGGTTTAGAAAAGTTTATTTTTTCAGTTTCAATTTTGCATTACAAACTTTCAATTTGATATGTTTCTTTGGTGCATAATTAAACAAACAACTATTTTTTTTTGCAGAAACTGTGAAGTCAAATAAGCATGGCTTATGCAGACATGTGATAGAGATAGAGGAAGAAAAAATAATAATCGTGGGCACCAAATATCATAAGCTAAACAATATTCAATAACAAGTAGCTCAGCCAATATCGAAACTACTCTATAATTTTTATAGTGAATTTTTTTATTTAAAACTCAATGTGTCAGTTTTTGGTTTAAGTTTGGTGTTTGCAATATGTATATTTAACGTTGGGCCAATGCATCATCATGCATTGGCCCAACGTTGGTCCAATGCATCATCATGCATTGGCCCAACGTTGGTCCAATGTAAGCTTGCTGTCTGGGATATATATGTATATATATATATATATATATATATATATATATATATATATATATATATATATATATATATATATATATATATAAATTTAAAAGTTTAATTTTTTTTTTTTTTTTTGAAGAGGGGGGTTGCCACTGACTCAGTAGCCATGGTACTATATATATATATATATATATATATATATATATATATATATATATATATATATATATATATATATATATATATATATATATATATATATATATATATAATAAATATATATATATATATATATATATATATATATATATATATATATATATATATATATATATATATATATATATATATATATATATATATATATATATATATATATATATATATATATATATATATATAGTACCATGGCTACTGAGTCAGTGGCAACCCCCCTCTTCAAAAAAAAAAAAAAAAATTAAACTTTTAAATTTAAAAAAGTAAATTTAATTCTAGATTAAGATTACCATGAGCAAAGAACAACTGGTAAAAAAATCTATGATTTTTATTTTAAACTACGCTGACCACTTTGGGTATTAATACGCCATCCCCTATAAACATTTAAAATATTTTAGACTCTTTTTTAAAATGTTACATTAGAAAATAATTTTTGATGTTTTGAATATTTTTTATTTCAAAACACATCCTGCTCAAAATACCTATATAGGTATTTTGAGCGGTCCACTGTAGATTTGCTCATTGGTTTCTTAGTGAACCATTAGTGGAAGCCGCCAAAAGTTGCTAGCCATTGCCTAGCCACTATTAACATTTCAGAAAATTATTGGCTGGCCATTGATAGCGGCAGCCACTAATGGCAGGCTTGGACAGGAATGGCGTGCGACCGAGCGATATTGCTGACCACGCAAATGATTTTTTTTTTTTTTTTTTTGACAACTTGACCACGATTGTATTGTTTTGATTATTTAAACTTTTAAGAAATGCTCTAAAAGTAGAAACGCTAAGCTACACTTAAACAAAAAAAAATGATTTTATTCTACAAGAAAAAAAACGATTTTATTGTTTTGATGATTTAAACATTTCAAAAATGCTCTGAATAAAGAAACGCCAAGTTAAACTAACGAAAAAAGATACGAAAAACAAATTTCTTATGAAAAAGAAATTATACGAGCACTAAAATAAAAACTTGAAACTTTTTGTGACGTTATTAATTACGTATGAAATATACATTATTAAAACCTTTCTTTTCAAACGTTTTATTAAAGTTACGCAAAACGCTTAAATTAAGTAACAAAATTACTACTAATGACTGTTTAATAAATGAACAAATTTTATTAAATTTATTAAAAAGTGTTGTATATAAAATTTTTAAATTGAATAAATATTTATTTTTTCAAATAACTTGCAAAAAAAAATTTCTACAAATAACGTAGTTATTTTTAAAATAGTAATTTTTAATAATTTAATGCTCTAATTAGTTAGTCTAATTAAAAAAAAAGGTTTTCAACGTTTTTATTCGTAAAAATAGAAAAAAAATGAATAAATAAAATGTGCCTGCGATTTAAATAAAATAAACTGCCAACAAGCAATTTAATTTAACTTTAATTTGAGCATTACAAGTTTATTAATAAGCGCTTCGCGTAACGAATTTGAAAATTATTATAAAAGATTTATAATTAACTCATTCATTCATATAGTAATTAAAAAAATATTTTTAAAATAATGTTTGTTTAAAACATTTTAAAAATAAGTTTAATTATAAAAATTAATCGTATGAACTAATGAACAAAATGCTTCAAAACTTTTCCACTAATAAACAAAATACATGCTTATATAAGTAAATAAAGATATTTTATATTCTTGTATAATTCACATAAAATGTGTAAAAGCTAGTAGTCACAATAGGTTTTCATCTTATTCATAAATTAAAAAAACTCTTTATAAAAAAATGGTTTAAAAACTTTTTAAGACATGGAAAAATAGTTTCAAACGTTTAAATTTATTATAAAAAATTCATGCCTATATAAAAAAAACAACTTATATTTCAATTTTTATTAATTTACACATGCGTTTATGTAAACAATCATTGTAATTGATTTTATGGTTTTATTTAAAGAACACTTTTTTTTAATAAAAAATAAAAATTTTATTGCATTTAAATTGTTAAAACATCAAAATAACCGTGGTCAAGTTGTAAAGAAAAGAAAAATTAGTGTGGTCACTTACAGAGTGCGATCGCACACCATTCCTGTAATGGTCAATCAAGTAACCAATGAGGAAAACTCCAATGAACCGCTCAAAAATACCTACATAGGTCAATTGAAGACCTCGGTGCTAAAACGATGTAACTCCACTTTTCAGGTTTTAATGGATTATTAGTATATAAAAGAAGTTCTATCAAGTAGTATAAAAATGACATAGATTAAAGCACTTCTGGTATTATTAAACACATGATTCGGTAGAAAAATACATATTCCCTACATATAAAATTATTCCGTTTTTTCTTTCTCCTAAACAATTTGCAAAAATGGAGTTATATCGTTTTTGCACCGAGGTCTTCCACTAAAACAATGTTTCCTGGATGGTTGCTTGTAGTAACTTATGTTTTTAAATTCAGTTTTTTAACCTGTCAACTTTGACCAGCAAGAATTTTTTTTGGGAGCTCAAAATCGGTCTTTGATTGTTGATTAGCCTGTAATTTATTTAAGCGCTAACGGGTGGTTACTAAAAATCCGGACAAACTTTAACTGAATTTTAAATGCCACAAGCTAAATCTTTTTTATTCATATTTATATCCATTTTATAGCTTATTTAATTCTCTATAAGTTAATTTTTTTTTTTAGATAATAATAATTAAAAAAATAATGATGACCAAGCAAGAAGAGGTAAGAAAACGGATTTACGAGTTCTATTTGAATAATAAATTGCAAGGTAAAAAGTTCACAGTAGCTCACTTCAATGCTGAAAAAATCCCAAGAAGCACTATCTATGATATAATCAAACATGTTGAGAATGATTCTGGGCACAAAAGAGTGCAAGGAAGTGGTCGTGTGGCCAAAATCATGACCCCTAAGAGGATCAAGCGCCTGAAAGCCATATTTGATCACAGTGACCGCGTTTCGATGAGGCAAGCTGGTCGAAAATTTGGATGCAGTCATTCACATATCATTAAAACTCTTGCCAAGTACACTGACATCAAAAGTTATACAAAACAGGGTATACCTCATCGACAAGAGAACCAGAATGAGCGAATCAAAACTGGCATTGATCGTCTTTATCGCGTTTTTAAAGGAAAATCGGTCATCCTTGACGATGAGTCTTACTTCACGCAGTCACACTCAACAATTAATGGAAACAGCACTTACTACTCTAGCAACAGGGACAAGACTCCACCAAGTGTTAAATATCGCAAAAAGCGCAAGTTCGAACCCAAGGTGCTTGTCTGGCTGGCCGCTTCTGACAAAGGTGTTTCAAAACCATTTTTTATACCCAGCGGCCTTGCAGTCAATAAAGCCATCTATGAAATGAATTGTATTAGGAAAAGATTAGTGCCGTTCATCAACGCTTATCATGCCGATGGTAATTACATATTTTGGCCGGACCTGGCTTCATCGCATTATGCCAAAACCGTGACCAGCTGCTACGAGACTCATAACATCAATTTTATCAAAAAAGTTGACAATCCGCCAGCCGTACCGGAGTGTCGCCCAATCGAAGACTTTTGGGCTATTTTGAAAGGCAAAGTGTATGAGAGTAACTGGCAAACGAAAGACGTGAAACAACTACGAACCAGAATAAAACTTTGCCTGAAAAAAATTGACCTTAACCTTGTATTTTCACTTTTTGGGTCAACTCGTGTTAGAGTTGGCCGAATCCGAAGAAACAAACTGGTTGAAGACAAACTTAATTAAAATAAATAAATAACTAAAAACTCTTTTTAATGATAGTTTTATTTAATCTCTACCATAAAAACTTTAAGAGTAATTGCACTTGAAAGTTTGTCCGGATTTTTAGTAACCACCCGTTACAATCGCTTAGCATATGATACTCAAAGCATTAGTTCGTTTCATTCACTATGATTAAGTCAAATTATGTAATCATTAAAAACATTAAGCACAAATTATTCAACAACAAAAAAAAAGCATCAAATTACCACCAAATGGTAATTTGATGCTTTTTTTATGCTACCAAATTTATACTATCCTTTACAAATATCCCTGGTCTTTGAAGTTACTTTCTATCCATTGAGTTTTACACTTCCAAAATTTATCAGACCTATTTGCTCTTTATCAAACTAATATCAAATTGGATGTTCCATTACTAATTTTTATACTGATAACTCTTACTATTGTGGAATGCCACTACAATAGTTACGCACGTAAACCACATCTATTTACATTACACATACCTAAATAAACTCAAAATATTTCACAACTCTTATTGACCCATGCTACACTTTGAAAAAACACTGCACTTAATAGACATTCATGTCAAAAAACTACTTACTACTGTTTGCAAGTTATACTGAACCCCGATAAGTGTCCTCTGGTTCCAGTGTCAATTCAGGAGTCTGTGGCAATCGTCCTGACTGGATACTCTGAGAATAGTCCTTTTGGGATAACACAATGGGATACCTTAAAAAGATACCCTGGTGTAGACCCAGAGTGGAACTTCTTTTGGGACACCAGTCTCGGATGAAAGCTGTAGGTCTCCATGTGTTTATACTGCACCATAAGGCACGAATCCATACTGCACTTGAGACGTTCATGACACTTATACCTATAATGTATGTTTATCATCCTAATAATACATACTACATGGTGACTACTTATATAAAACGAATAATTCTACTCCATTACCAGTTCTACTTACATGTCACATTTACGCTAGATACTATCAATAATTTAATAGCACAACAACTAATGACTTTCCTTGACTATTGTTTATTATTTTATTTTATTTTTTACTACACTTTACTTATGTCAGTTTTTAATATTTTTCTACTCTGAGGCTCTGTGTTTTCCACTGGACATCTGTCATTTTGTACTTTTATCTCACTCTGCTAAACTCTTTTTAACTTATTATTCATCCCTAAGGCGTACACTGCTCGGTGCAGCTTCACTAAAATGCATTGCATTTACAAAAAATTCTTGGCGTAAGTGGCAACTTGATCAAATAAATAATACTAAGTTTCATAAAGATAAAATTAATTTACCAATATGAATTTATTTAAAGCTAAAACCAATTTTTCAAGATTTATTTGATGATAAACTGTTAACCAAATGCCTCCATGGACAAACACAAAATGGAAATGAAGCATTCAGCGCAATAATATGGACTCGCTGTCCTAAAAATGTATTCTTATTCAGAAGAACGTTTGAATTGGCAATTTCTGCAGTTCTTCATTTTAATGATGGTGGGGAAGGAGTAAAATCTGTTTTAGAAAGTTTTGGAATTAAAGGACAAATAACTTCTAAGAAACTAATGGAAGCTGATAATGAGCGTGTTAAATATATGAAGCTCAAATCTTCTAATATGGTTATTAAACAGCGTAAAAAACTAAGAAAAGTTAAAAAACGCATAGTGGATTTTGAGGTTTCAAATGAAAAACAAACTTCATATATACCAGTTGGTTTTTAAGCATTATTTTTGAAATACTTTATTAAAAGTCTCGTTTGCCGGGTTTAATAATTTTTGAGACATTCCACATTTCAAAACATGGTTTTTTAAAAATGGTATGGATTTATGAACTGAAATTTTCAGGGCATTTTTATAAGATATTGATAAATCATTTCTCATAGGATTTTGTTATATAATGAGAAATTTTCTGATTTATATGAATTTTGGTACTTATTTGAGTGACTACATAAATAAACTATGAAATATTTTGTATAACTTTGGAGTTATCGAGGCAAATCAAAAAATTCTATGACAAATGTAAATATTATATATAACAAACATTTCTGCAAAATTTCAAAGCAGTAGAGTTATTATATAGTGAGATATTATGTTTTCAAATACACCCCATTGTTTGAAGTTTAACAAATTTATTTTTGGATAATCAAGGCAAAAAAAAATTTTGAATGATTTTTATTTTTTTATTTTCTGAAATTGAATTAGGTTTTACTAAAAAATATCAATAAATAGCTCGAACTCAAAAAATAAATTAGGGTTACCACCTTAATTAACTAAACCTTATTTATTTAAGTTTATAAGTTATTATTATGAATTGAAAAATGAAAACAATATGGTGAAATAAACGGACAAAAAAAATTGTTGTAAAAATTTACAATAAAAACAATTAAAAACTGTTTCCATTGTAAAATATTTGCGCAAAATATATATATCATATTATCAAATAATTAATTTTTTTTTTGTTTACGTATTATTATTTTTATTAAGGTTTACAGTACAGCCAATTTTGGTAGAGCAGCAGTTAAGCAGCGTAAAATAGTTTACTTTTTTATTTATTGTGGTCTCGTCAGTGGAGACTAAACATAAAGGACTTAAGTATATGCATCGGTTATCTTATAGCCATTTTGCCACAAATGAGTACGCCTAAATCAACTGAAGGTTTAGCATGGGTCAGCAACCTTTTTTTAATTTTTTTAATAATGAAAACAATTTGCTGCCATTAACTGATGTAGCAGCAGTCCCTTGCAGCAGCAAGCTATAAGATAGTCGATGTATGTACTGAATCCAATAAATATTCTTTAATATTTAAAACCACAAGCAAGATAATACAAAACAAAAAAAGTAATAATAATAAGTTTAGAATATAAACTAATTTAGGCTTACAGTTAAGCAACTGTAGCTTTACCCAATATTTGATTAGTACAATTTTGCTACTTTTTTCATATATAATTACTAGTTTAATTTATTAAAAAACGTAACAACTTACAACAACAGCATTAACTGCACCTCGATGACCTTTAAAAATACGTTTGCATGCGCCTGATTTTGCATCATATGCTCTAGCAGTACAATCTCCTGATCCAGTTATAACTTTAACAGATAGTTTTGGTAAAGTTTTAATTTTTTATTATAATAATTAGTAGCAAACATAAAATAAAAAAAATTACACTTACGCACGCCATTAACAATAACCATGCAACCAATCGTGTGGGTATGCCCTTTATAAATTCTAGTACAGTCCCCAATCTCTGCAACCCAACAACGAACTGTGTGATCACAACTTGCAGAAAATAACAATCTGTTAACAAGCTGAAACAATCAGTACAACTTTATATAATAACAGCTCAAATATCAATGACAATTTTAAATACATTTTAAACAGCAAAATAAAAAAAAATAAAAAAAACATTAGTGAACTTATTTTTAAAAATGATTACAACAAGTTTTGTTGATATTATTTTGTAAAACATCACTGAGCCAAAAACAAACTAAAAAAACTTAATTATTTTGCTTAAAATTTTAGGTACTAACTTTTATTTCTATATATTTTTATAATACTACTATATATCAGGGTTAGGGCCAGAGATCAATCAGAAATTGATGCGCTATGCATTTGTTGACAGTTTTGCTACATATTGTCTTACATAAATTACATAAGGGGTCGTCCGTAAATACGTACGCTTTTATTTCAACCCCACCACACCCACTCCCTCCCTTGCATTTTGCTATACGCTTTTTTAAGTACCCCACTTCCTTAAATGTACCTCGCTTTTAATCTACCTACTTAAAGTTTTATGATATATTTTTTTAATTTTAAATATATATATATATATATATATATATATATATATATATATATATATATATATATATATATATATATATATATATATATATATATTGATTTATATTTTTTTTTATTTTTATTTATTTTTACATATTTTTATTTATTTTTGTATTTTTTTATTTTCGTTTTATTATTTTTTTTTAATTTAGTATTTCCTTTACAATTCTCGTTCCGGCCGTAATTCTTGCCGGAACGAGAATTGTAATTTAGGACTTTTAGCTTTGCAGAAACAGGACTGGTTTTAGCGAAAGGATGGTGAGTTTTGAGATGAGACGAAAGAAACTGTCTGGTACATAGGTTATCAGATCTGCAAAATACTTTTCTATTGCAAATATTACAATGGTGTATTAAGGATCATTAATGGATATTGTAAAATGCTTCCCAACTAAACTTTTTTGACAACTTTTTTCCATCTTATAAAATAATAATAAATTAATAGTAAATAATAAGAAAATAATAAGTAGCCATTCCACAGAATATTTTTTTTGTCAACATTTTCATATAAAAATAACATGATTGTATAGAGTTAAAAAAAAAACTTAAAAAATAAAAGGTCTTTCGACTTTAGAAGTTAAGTGGATCCGAAGTTATCGCACTTTTTGTGCCGCAAAAACTGATGATTTTTTGACAAAATGTTTCGTCCTTAAGTATAGAAAATTTACTGTTTTATCAAAAAAAAAAAAAAAATAAAATAAAATAACATCAAAAATCTTGCTCCATGTGTTAGCGAAATAAAACAAAAAACATCAAAAATCTAGCGCAAAAATAAAAACAAACAATACGCAAAATGAAAAAAGCATTATATCATAATTTCTATATGCAAACCCTAAGAACCAAATCTTCAAGGAAACATAAATAAGCACTTGTTTTAAGTTGAGGAATAGCCATAATTGCGATTTCGACATGGACTCTTTCAAAAAACTCTATTTTTTATATATAAATTAACCTTGAAGTTTTTAAACGCTGAGAACAAAAAAATTATGCATGAATGTTAAAAAGAGTCCACATTCCATTAGATTACTCCGACCTTTTTTAATATAGATGGAAATTTTCATACAAATTAGATGTATTTTGGTATTTAAGAAATCTTACTTTTGAAAACTTATCTCTAAAACAACTTACATACACAAAGTATTGTGATTTTTCACTTTCTGAAGTGAGCGCAAAAAGTCTTATTTAAAATATTTAAAGCAACTTTTAAATCACAAAATTTATGGCTAAATTTTAATGGCTAGGAAATGACCCAAATTTGACTTGATAAATCTTTAACAATACTATTTTTAAAATATTTTATTTAATGGGAATGCAAAAAAGATTTTACAAAAAAATAAAACTAATTTAAAAAATTATATTTACGTTTTGAAAACTGACGAGTGCTAAAAGGAAAATTTTTTTCTTAAAAGTTAACTTTTTGGTGGGACGCATATTTTTTGTGTGATCAATGCTTATCATTGAAATTATGCCCACTATTAGGGTTATAATGCAATAATTTTTAACTTGCTATATAAAATGATTATTTATTTTTTGTTGAAAAAAATTGTAAAGCTAATCTTTTAAATTTCTTTACTTTATTTATCTTAATTAATTATATAGTGAATATAAATTATTATATTTTAAATATTATTGATACTTTGTAAAAAATATATCACGCAAATTGTAGGGGCTCGACGACAAGACTTATGTCTTCTACTTGTTCCTATCATTTTTTATATTTTGATTTATTTTATTAAACTTGGAAACGAGAACATTGTAAAATGCTTATATATGACGAAATAAATAAATAATTCAATAAAAAATAAAAAAATTGATTTTGTTATTAAATCAAAAAAGTACTAAATACTTTTAAATATATATTTAGGTTATAAAATAACCTTAATTTTTGAATCAAATTATCTCTAAAAATAAAAATCTCAAAAAGCTATTTTTCGTACTATTGTTAAGCTGTGTAAAACCTATTGTATTTTAAGTCATCGGTTGAACGATAGAAAACATACATCTCATACTACTTTGTCGCATAAAACGTCAGATCTTTTTCTTTAGCCATGTTTTATCGATTATCGATATTACGCCCTTAGATGATGAAGTGCCTTCAATTGTTAAGTTATTATTATCTCTCATCCCAAAAAAAGTAAAAAAGTAATAAAATCTTTAATTAGTAGAAATAACTTTGAACTTTTTATTTCTCATCGAGTTTAAATTAAAAAAACTAAGCGTTACAAAAGTTAAAGAAAAAAAAAGAAATAAAAGAAATTACAATGAACTAAAATTTACAGTTGAAACATAATTACAGTTGAAACATAATTAAACACAATTCACAGGTTGAAACATAATTAAGTGCACTTTGAATTTTTTACTGGCTTTGAACCATTGGACCTTTTTAATGCTCTATATTTAGAATCTGTTATAAGCAAACTCAAATATTTGGAGCCAATGTTAAATATTGGGAGACAACAGATTTTAACTACAATGAAATAAGGAAGAGATTGTATAATCAGTTTTTAGTCTGAATTATTTTTAGTATTTACGAGATTTTGACTTAACCTTTGAGTAGAAGGCGTGACATTACACTTTGACGGGTGTGTATGTTGGGTGTTACATTCCATCCCTATCAATCAAGGTGATTTTAAAGTTATAGCCTGTTTTTTAAGGAACATAGTCGGCTAGTTGAGTAAAATTATTTTACCAATTTCGGAAGAAAAAAAATACATATTGTAAGAGGAACAATGCCAAAATGTTTTCAAAAAAATTACAAATTAACAATGGTAATTTTAGATTGCACACAACTATTTATTAAAATGCCAGTATATTTTTGAATCCTGTCTGCATTTTTTTTTCACTTAAAAATATAAAAATACAGAAAAAGAATAAATTGAAATAGCACTAACTAGACCCATAATTTTTGTTAAACAATTTATTAAGCTATCACTGCTAAATGAAAAAGTTCAACTAAGCCTTGAAGGTGAAAACAAAAATAGAAAAATTGCTGCTGTTTGTATTCATGTAAAAGAGCAATACAGCAAATAAAGAATTAAAAAGTTTTGAAAATTGCCCTCAAAATTGCCCCTCAAATATTTGCATGGCAATAGATAGCGTTTTTAAAATCTGAAAAGATTTTATAAACTCTTACTGCGAAAAGCTCTCAACAAGAAGAGTATTATTATTTTTTTTTATAAACATTAAAATGTCAGGTTAACATTATATAAAATTATAAAAGGTATATATAGTGTGGATCTTTAAAACTGCGAAATTTAGCGAAAAACTGATAAATATGTTAAACTGGCTATATTACCCTACGGTGGTCATATTAACACATTTGACAGTATATTTTTGCTTTGCACAAAAAAAAAACACAACAACTTCATTAAATGATTTTCATGCATCAAGAACTCCGGTGCTAATAGAATTGTATTCATATTACACAAAACATGTGTAATTAAAGCATAGCTTACAAACAAGTCAGCCATCAAAAACGATCTTGAATATTTATTGGCTAATTTTACGGTTGTCAGTGTCAAATGTTGACACTCATTTAAAGGATTGGTTAGGTATTAGTTATTGTTGTATTGTTATTCTTCAATATATTGTTGATTTCTTAAATACAACTGATTGCTAAATCTGATCTATACTAACTAATAAGCTATATATAGTTAAGCAGTATAGAGTATAACAACAGCAATAACAAATTTGTTAATAAACGTAATACCTGAAGTTGAAGTACTCCTGCAGCATGACCTTCAAAAACCTTAAGTTGTTCCCCGGTAAATAAGTTAAATGAGCGTATCGTTGCATCTTGACTTCCCGTATATAAATACTTTGCTTGACTATCTGCAGCTAAACACAAAACCGCTCCAGTGTGACCACGAAATGTAATTATTGTTTCTCGTGATCCAAGTGACCAGGATTTTGCGGTTTTATCAACACTACCTGATACTAAGATGTCGTTATTATTTTCAAGATCAGAATAATCCCGATCAAAAGGTTGTTCTGGAAGTGGTATATATAAAAGTGGATAAACACCTAGTTTATGACCACTGTACGATGCTTTACACTCCCCACTAATTATATCCCAGCAGCAAATAGTACGATCATAAGATGACGAAAAAAGAAGAGTTTCTATAATAAGCAAACGGTTTACAGCAGCTGTATGTCCTTTCATAACTTTTGCACAGGTTCCATTATCTATACGCCATTTTCTTATACATTTATCTGCAGACGCTGTAAAAATATACGTATCTGAGCAAACAACATGGTTTATGTAAAATTCATGACCAGCAAGTACTGAGACAACTTTCTCTTGTTCTGTATCATAGATTTGGGCATTGCAATCTTCACCACCAGTTATTAGCACAGTACCATTTGATGGCATACACATAGTATTGATACCTTTTTCATGGCAATGGACTTCGCTAATAAAATATTGCAAATCTTTTTTTGATACCTTTACGTTGCTATTACTTCCAGAATCAGAATTTTTTGATCCCGCCGATCCCATTCTTGTGTTCTGTAACGCTATAAACATTTAATATATATATATATATATATATATATATATATATATATATATATATATATATATATATATATATATATATATATATATATATATATATATATATATATATATATATATATATATATATATATATATTAATATTATTATCATTATTATTATTTAATTATATAGAATACATTTAGGGGATGGAAGCAGACATTATAAATAGTAACTTAAATATTATAATTATATAATATTAATTCAAGAAACATAACTAAACAGTGACAAAAAACGTAAATATGTAAATAAAAGACCTGTTTTAGAGGTTTAGTGTTTTTATTTTTTTATTTTTAAGGGTTTTTTTTTGGTTTAAAAGATGCTCCAAGAAGACCTTATACGCTCTGTGATAAGGATTTTATCACAAAGACCGTGAACACGGCTGCTTTTTAATCGTTGCTAATGCTGTTATCAATTGGTTTTATGGAAATCATTTTGAAAAATATTTGCGGAAAACTATGGATTTTATTTTTAAATATTATTTGATTTTATCTAATGCATTTAAAATAAATAAATAGTAAAACGGTAATTAAAAGAAAGAACTTTAATATCAATGCAACAAAACTGCCGTTTGCCGTCTAGATAGTTAAGGACGGTGATAACGAGAGATAACGTGTGATAAAGATTTGTAGTAACAATATAACGCTCAGTTTAGTAAAAAACAATTTTAAAATGTTAATCAAGTCTCTCGTGCGAAATGTTTTCTATAAATTAAATAAAGTAAATGACACTTGTTAAAGGTTTAAAAATGAAATTAAATAGAAACAACGGGCTTACTAGTGTTTTGACAACTCCAGTAAAATTTGCGTAACCAGTAATAAAACTTTTTGTAGATATATAACAGTTTTAAAAAGCAAATAAAGAATTCGTTAACTTTAATAAGTTTTGAAAATTATATTTAATATTCTATTTAGCAAATATAACTAAATTTGTTTATATAAATAAACGACGTATGCCCACATTTTTTAAAGCGTATTCAAATAACAATTCAATAGAAAAAATGTTAGAAAAGTAAGAATGAAAATTTTCTATGAAGATTTTAGCTTAAAACTTTTTTCTTAAGTTTCTGATAAATAATTTATTTAGTTTATTAACAAAAATCATCAATATTTAATTACTATGGAGGCTTTCTTAATATATATAATACCTCCATGGTGTACATATACATACATACATACAAGCATACATGCATATATATATATATATATATATATATATATATATATATATATATATTTATATATATATATATATATATATATATATATATATATTTATATTTATATATATATATATATATATGTATATATATATATGGGGGCGGATTCAGCGTTTTTGGGTCTTTGAGATAACTTTGAGACATTGAGCAAACTCTAAACATTTATATATTTGTACTTATGTCAAGGCCATATAAAATTTGTAACCCCTTCAAATGGAGGGGGATTCAAACTTAATATGGTAATTATTTTTGAACGCTGAAATATTAATCTATAAAACTAAAAATTTATCGATGAATATAAGTCTAGTTAAAAATAGTACAAAAATACTTTAATAACTTGGTGATCTCACCTTTGGGGCAGAGGGGGCGAAAACTTGTTCACCAAGCATCGGAATTTTTTTGCAAAGCATCTTTATTTGACATAAGTATAAACATATTAATGTTAGGATCTTTCTTCATATCTGAAAGGTAGCTACTTCATAGTTAAAGTTATTCTGGACCCATCCCTGATATGTATATATATATATATATATATATATATATATATATATATATATATATATATATATATATATATATATATTTATACATATATATAAGAAGCTGCGGGCTTCAGTACATACATCGACTGATTAAGAGAGAAACATCAACTGAGGGCATGATAAAATTTTTTCATTCATTATTCTTAGTACTACTTATTGTATTTAAAACATTCTGATATATTTATAAAAAACAGTTCAATAGAGTTTGTAAATACAATTATTGGACAGAAATAAGTATTTTCATAATTATTATTCAAAATTAGCAAATAAAATACTCATTATATTTGAGTCAAATATTGGTAAAGCACACAAAATAAATTATGTGAGTGCGTTCTTTTATATATATATATATATATATATATATATATATATATATATATATATATATATATATATATATATATATATATATATATATATATATATATATATATATATATATATATATATATATATTAAAAGATAATATATATTAAAGAACGCAATTACTAAATTTATTTTGTGCACTTTACTAATATACTGGAGAGAGAGAGATTAACAACTTTTTGGTGGTCGAGATAACTATCTTGCATAAATGACAAAAATAACTTTGGCACGTTCTTTTTAAAGGTTAACGTTAATTAAAAATACGATTTCACTGCTAATATTTCAAATCAATCAAAACATACTTAAAAAATAAAATAATTTGAACTCACTATTAACGCATTCAAAATTCTTGATGTTCTACGATAAAGTTTTTCCAAGATTAATGCACATTATTTTTCTGAACTTTATATTAATCATTCACATTCCTTTTTATTTAAATATTAAAGATTCATGAACTAGTTAACTGCATCCACATTTATTATGGAAGTAAGTTGCTAAGACAACGAAAAATGTATTATGATGCTATGTTATAACAAAAAAGTAAACTTTACAACGTTGCGATAAAAATGTTGTTTATGTACTTAACAAGGGGGCATCCGATAAACCAGTGCCAACTGGAATATTTATAAGCGCATCGTTATTTGTGTAAATTATATGTGAAATAAAAACTAATAAAATTTTTAGAATAAACTGAATAAAAAAAGTTTCTTAAAGAACTAATTTTTTTAAAATAGTATCTTTTAGTTAAATGAAAAAAAAAAATTTAACATTAACTTAAACATCAGTCCGAATAAATATTTACTATTATAAAACGGTTTTTAAATTCTTTTTCATTAATTTTTTGGAAATACAATCGTGTTAACGTTGAATAAGTAAAAAATAACTAATAAAGAAATATTGCATTTAAAAGCTCAATGAGTAAACAATTGGGTGATAGAAATATAACACAATTTTTTTTTTTTTTTTTACGTGTACTAGTATGCTTTCAAAAATAAGTTGTAAAAAATATGCTGTCAAAAATAAATTTCTTTATTTAACTATATCTTTTAATAAATAAACTTTTATTAAATAAGTTTAAAAAAAATTATTCGTGTCATAAATAAATAACAATGTCATTATTTAACATATGTCATTGAAAAAAAACATACTGATTGAATAACGAAGGAAGATAAATCAAAAATGATTTAATAAAAAGGAAGATAAATATAAATAAGTAGTTAGAAATTTATTTATTTTTCCCTTTTTTACCTTTTTTCTATACTTAGCAGGTATAAATTTAACGCTGTTAAATTTTTTGTGTTGTCAAAATAAAATCTTATGGTATGTTGTTGGTATGAATAAATCGGTATGAATAAACGGTAATAATATAAATAAACGGTATGATATAATATACGATATAATACGGTATGATATAATATAAATAACGAAATGATATAATAAAATAACGGTATGATATAATAAAAAAACGGTATGATATAATATAAATAAACGGTATGAATAAATCTGTGGCGCGAAATATTTGTGCCATAATAATGAAATTAATTTTTTCACAAAGAAAAATATGTTAGCTAAAACTCCAATCCATTTTTGTTTTAAAAACAATGCATAGAAACAGTAAGTTTTGACTTTATTTAAAGACGCCATTTTTGTGTAATATGAGCATGCTCAAATTACCCAGTGTTTTTCATTAAAATTACCTAGGGAGGAATGCAAGAAGCTAACTTGAAATTTGAAGTCATACTTGAAGTATAAAATTTGACTTGAGCAAATGCAAAGAGCGAACCTGAACTCAAAGTCCAACTTGAAAACTCGATTCAAGTTGTAAAATCGGCCGTTTTCAAGTTAGACTATAAAAGCCAACTTGAAAAAGCAAAAATCTTTTCCGAATGCAAGAAGCGAACTTGAAATTTCAAGTTATACTTCAAATCTGAAGTCTGACTAAAGTGTTATACAAGAAACAAACTTGAAATGAATTCGTAATTGAAAAATCTGATTTCAAGTCGTTTTTTTAGTTAGGTACCGACCAGTCTTGAAACCAAACTTGAAATAAAAAAATAAACCGCCATTATCGTTTTGTATAATACGTGGTAAAAAGTTTCGACAATTTAATCAATTTATAAGTGAATTACATCTGAATTATTATTTTATACTATATAAATACATTTCACCAGTACAACAACTGTCAATTGTATGTCGGTTTTATGCTACTGGTTAATTACAGTTGAGAAAGTATTTATATTATCACTATAAATTATAGTGATAATATAATTATAGGGTAAAAATTTCTCAAAAAACACAAAAAAATACAAATCTGCACCCTATATCACCAAAATTTTTGAAACTTGGCACAAATGTTTATAGACATATGTTAGGAAAGATTGTAATTTTTTTTCATAAAATTCCTTACCGTTTATAATTTACAGCAATTTGAAGTTTCCTTGATTTTGACTAAAAACTGAGGGGGGAAAAGTGCCGAAAATTATTCCGTTTACTTTCACCTTAATATGGTGCTTGAAGTGATGCCAGAATTCTGAAACTTTGTACCAAATGAGTTTAAAACCTGGTAAATCCGAAAAATATAGTTTTTTATATGTCAAAACAAGGGAATGTAGCTTATTTTAAGATCCATAAAATACACTTTATAACGCCGAGAAAAAGGGGCATTGACAATTATAGCTATAAAAAAAATCTGACTGATATAAAAAAACTTAATTTCGATTTTCTTAAAAATAAGATCAACACTTACTTTTTGAACCAATTTTGTTATGGCCTTATATTTACTTGAGGAATTATTGATGTTTGATATAGACACAAAATTTTTTTAATATTTTTTAAATTAGACACTTAATATAACCCCACCTTTTACCAATCAATCAAATTAGAAACTAAAAATTTAGTGACTTAATTATCTTTTTCATTTTCATATGATATTTAAAACAAAATTTAAACGTATATAAATTTTTTTAAAATACTAAACTTTAGTGATTTTATATATGCTTTACATTCACATTATTTACAAGTTGGTTCACAAAACATAATATTTAAAAAAAGAATGGATAAGACTTAATAGACTCATAAATATAAAAATCTCTACTTCCTTAGGAAAATAATTTTTTTTAAGTCCTCTTTGGCTAAATAGTAGCAAAGTCCTGTTTTTTTTATCGGTACCTCAACTTTGCAAATAATGTGGACATCAGGAATCCCATCCTTTGGTGGCCATTTAAACAACCGTGCAGGACCATTAGGGCACATAAATTTTACAAGCACATCTTTTTCTTCTAAATTAATATCTTCAATGACTCCTATCCACCACTTTTGCTCATAGGAAACACCTGGTACTAGGTTTACCGTTGTTAGCTGGATATGAATTAAGTCATGAATTAAAGCAAATTCTTCATCAACACTGCATAGCTTAGTGCCTACCTAAGCAAAACATATGCAATTATTCCGTTTTACTTATCAAACATGTTTTATTAAATGCATAGATAGCAAATGCAGAGGAAATAAAATAAAATACAAATATTTTTGATAATGATTTTGCAAAAATCTAATATCTATTTGAGTTTATCAATAAAAGTTATGCGTGTATTTTAAAATATGGTAAAAGTTATAATTAAAAAATAATAATTTATCTTTTGATGGCCAAGTGGTATAAACTGATGGTAACTACGTGTTCCAGGTATTGTATTAGCAGTATCCAATCGTTCTTCAAGAGCGGTTCTCACCAAAGTTAAATCTTCTGATGAAATATATATGAAATTTATGCCTTCAATGTTTTCATTGCAATATTTATACATTGTTTGTGGAGATAAAATATGATTATCCATATCTCTTTTCAAACTTGCTAGTGTTGCCAGACGTTTGACTGTACCACCTATCCCATCA